TAAATTTAGCATCCTCTTAAACCACTGTTTCTTGGCACTCTATCTGGATGATGAATACTTCGTTTCAGAAACTTATCTCAGGAATTTTATAGACTGGGAAGAGAAGGTTATTTTAGTTTTTAATACTGTGTTCGGATCTTATTTCCACTCAATTTAAAGAACTCTTTTGTATAACACCTTCTATTAGAGTGTTATTTAGAAATGTAAAGAATGAGTAAAAGTGAGAATGATTTCATTCTTAATACAAATGAATATTTTAAGCTTGTACACTTTCATTGGTGCCATCTGTAATTGAGAGGCACTTTGAAATGTCTTAGGAAGCTCAGCAACCTTTGGCAGCTTCTCATATTTCATCTGTCTTCACATACAACTATGACAGAAGTGGATTGGCACATTGCTAACAGAGTTCCCCGAAGACTTCTTGTTTAAGAGATTATTCATGCCTCATTCAACAATTTTTCTGATGATCAACTCCTATGGCTTTCTTCTAGTAATTGATTGTTGTATGTTTTTAATAGAATTTTGTTTCCCATTTTGTTTGTGTGTATGAATGCATGCATATTTCAAGGAATTCAAAGATTATATAAAAATCAGGAAAATGTTTGAAAAGCAATTTTGAATGCAGACTCTAGGGTAGAAAGATATTTTAGAACAAATGACCTACAAAGTTGCAACAACCTGAGGGGTACTATGCATTGGATATATTTGGGTATCTGGGTAATATGTTGGCTGCAGGTGTATATGAATAGATCTTTGTTAAACTCTGGAGGAAAAACATGCTGCTAGTAGGAGGCTTGTCAGTAACCCTTCAAATGCATTACTCACCTTGCAATCATCTAATGCCACAAGTGGTAGAGAAGCCAGATCGACTGACTCAACATTTATTCCATCCTTAATGTATTTTCTGTATAGCAGAGACTAGAAAGCTTAAAATACATTTCTCAGACCTCCTTTGGAGCAGACGCTCCAGATACAATTTAAATTCAATCAGATATACTCAGGAGAGGCTTGAATGCAGAGCAGGGTGAAGTGGGGAAAGGAAGGGTCTGGTGGGGTCATGCATTTTCCTGGTGCAGGACTTGAATCAGGAACCAGCAGTTCAGTAGCAGCTTCCTGATCCCTGGAGTCAAACTGGGTCACTGTCTTGATTCTCCAGTTTCCTAACAAGCCAAGGTAGTGGTTTCCTTGGTGAGCCAGTTTTGCAGTGATGACCTGGGAATTGTTCTTTGAGGCCCAGCCCAGATCAAATTTCTTCAGAACATCTAGCAGTTTTGTAAGTACTTCATTCTCAGCATTAAATCACTTTGGTTCACAATAGTCACATTGTTTTCTGTCATCTGCAATTGAACATTGACACATGTCCTTGATAATTTTTTCTCTTTTTGTGACTTGTTTCCTAACCACATTTTTCCCTGAGTGTTTATTTTAATCACTACCTCCATTAAACATCTACTTAAGGCCAACATTAACAAAGATAATCCTGCCTCTATTCACTGCAGAAACATAGTTAATTGAAAGTTAATCTGAGATTCAGAGAGACAGTTGGCATGAGAACAATGTCACTTAGTTTTCTCAGACTTTCAGAGTTAATATCGCATATTATGAATAGTGATGTATTTATACTAATAGCCATTTATATAATGGCAATAGTTACATAAAACTTAGCAATTTAGGTAACTGTACTTTGTTATAGATGAAAATGCATTGAATTGTATAGGAACAAATGCCTTCTTAAAGGCTTAACAGTCTTTTCTGTTTTATAAACTCTGTTGCTGTTAAAAGATCATCCCCTGGTCCCTTTTAGCAAAAGGGAAAAGCTGCATTTGGGACTTTTTTTGCTGATATGTTTTTCTAATTTTGTATGTGTCCTTTTTAATCTATTCAGATATGGCAATGCACAAAAATAGATTTGTCTTTTTAAACTTTACATTTTATTTTTTAGAATAGTTCTAGATTTATAGAGAAATCTATGAAAATAGTACAGAGAATTCCTATATGTTCCCTCACTCAATTTCCCCTATTACTAACAGATATATATCTACCATATAGTTGTAAAAACTAGTTAATGAATATTAATACGTATTATTAACCAAAGTTTATACTTCACTCAGTTTTCCTTAGTTTTCACCTGATGTCTTTTTTTTGTTGTTGTTGCAGGTTCCATACAAGATACCAAATTACCTTTAGTTCTGTTTCCTTAGCTTTCTCTTAGAGATGAGTTTCTCAGATTTACTTTGTTTTTTGATGACCTTAAAAGTTTTGAAGAGTACGAGGTAGGTATCTTACAGTGTCCTTTAATTGAGTCTTTTTCGATGTTTTTCTCATAGTTAGATTGAGGTCCTGGGTTTTTGCAAGAAAGACCACGAAGATATAAAGTGTGATTTTTTTTTTTTTTAACATCACATCAGAGGACAATATACTATCATGACTGATATGGTTTGTTTCTGTGTCCCCACCAAATCTTATCTTGAAAAGTAATCACCAGGTATTGAGGCAGATTTGGATCATGGGGGTGATTTGATCATTGGAGTGGTTTTCCCCATGCTGTTCTCTTGATAGTGAGTTTTCATGAAACCTGATGGTTTTATAAGCGCCTGGCATTTCCCCTGCTTACACTTCTCTCTCTCACCTGCCACTGTATAATACGTGCCTGCTTCCCCTTTTGCCATGATAATAAGTTTTCTGAGACTTCTCTAGCTGTATGGAACTAAATCTGTTTCCTTTGTAAATTACCCAGTCTTGGGCAGTTCCTTATAGCAGTGGGAAAATGAACAAATACAATGACGTATCACTGTTAATGTTGATCACCTGGATGAGGTGATTTGTAAGGATGCTCTACTGTAGAGTTCCTTTTTTATTTTTTGTACCCTTTCTGCATTAGATGGAAAGAAGTCATTATTTACAACCCACATTAAGGACTGGGAGGTTATGCTCCATCCATTTGAGAGTGGAGTATCTGTAAAAATTGTTCTGAAATCTTCTGCATTGGAGATTTCGTCTGTTGCCATTTATGTCAGTATATACTCAAAAGATATTCATTTTATTTTGGATCATAACCAATGCTACTTCATTTTGTTGTCCCTGCTATTCCAGCTTTGACCATTAAGAGCTCTTAGAGTTGACTCCTGTGTCCCTTTGACAAACCATCATCATGGTGTTTTTTGTTTTGGCACTTCCTTGCTTTCTGGTACTGCAAGATATTCTAACCTTATCTTGTGTTATTTACCCCTCTAGTCCTAGAATCTGCTTTTCCTTCCAGGAAACCTGGTTGATTTTAGTGAAGAACGGTGTTAGGAGTTTTAGATGTGTTTATTGCTTCTAGACCCTCTCAAGAACCAACAGAGCAGGAAAATGTGTGTATACTAACCTATGTATATACTCAGATCTACAAATATTTCTATGTGAAACCATCTGTGTCTATTTTAAGCTTAACTTGAGTTTACATTGATACCTCTGCCTCATATAATGCATTATCATATATATCATTCTAGCCTTATTTTGCTTGTCTGTAACTTCCCGCTTTAAGAGTGAGAAACCTGGCTCCCACCATCCACCACTTGTTTATTCAGTTCTAGTGTACCTATATAGTGGTATCAGAAGTCTTAATCTATACTTTCATGGGAAACAACTTTCTCAATTAAAATGCAGTGCCAATGTACAGTTTCTTTTTCTTTTAGTCTTATAAACTACTCTCATCTGCATGGATCCTTAAGTCAGCACCTTTGCCTCTTCTGTGAGGTAGTTTCTCACATTTATTATACAGTTAGACTGTTTTGTTCTGCATTCCATTCTGGGACTTCCCCAAACTTCGAAATAATTTTTAAAAAGCTGCCTACATTGTTTTTCTTTGTGCCGTGAGGTCTATGGGTTTTCACAAGGTACAGTGTCACATACCCACAATCACAGTATTTTGCAGAGTAGTTTCACACTTGTAAAAGATTCCTGCATGTTTCACCTATTCAATCCTCACTCCCCTGAACACTTGACAACCACTGATCTTTTAGCATTACTGTAATTTTCTTTTCAAGAATGTGATATGATTGGAATAATGCAGTATGAATCCTTTTCAGATGTAGCAATATTAAGGTCCCTGTGTGTCTTTCTGTGGCTTGATAGCTCATTACTTTTTATTGATAAACTGTGGTACAGTCATACAGTAAATTATTTGCTCACTCACCTACCCATTGAAAGATACCTTGTTTGCTTTCAGTTTGATGATGAAAAAGCTGCTGTACATATTCACAGGCAGATTTTTATGTGAACATTAGGTTTTCAAATGAGTAAACACTTAGATGATTACTGGATTATATAATAAGGCTATGTGTAGCTTTGTTCTACCAAATTATCTTCCAAAGTGGCTATAAAAAATGTTAACTCTGCTTTTAGCTCTTTAAGGAATCTCCACAATGTTTTCCATAGTGGTTGTACTAGTCCACATTCCCACTAGTGCTGTAGAAGTGTTCCCCATTCACTGCATCCACGCCCATATCTATCAATTTTTGGTTTAACTATGGCCATTCTTGCAGGGGTAGGGTGGCATCTCACAGTGGTTTTGATTTGTATTTACCTAATCATTAGTGATGACCATTTTTTCCATGTTTGGTTGCCATTTGTATATCTTTGAGAATTGTCTATTCATGTCCTTAGCTCACTTTTTGATAGGATTTTTTTTCTTGCCAATTTTCATTGTAGATTCTAGATATTAGTCCTTTGCAAGATATATAGATTGGGAAGATTTTCTCCCACTCTGTGGGTTGTCTGTTTACTCTGCTGACTGTTCTTTTGTGGTGCAAAATCTCTTTAATTAAGTCCCAGCTATTTATCTTTGTTTTTATTGCATTTGCTTTTGGGTTTTTGGTCATGAAACCCTTGCCTAAGCCAATATTTAGAAGGTTTTTTTCCAATGTTCCAGACATTTTATAGCTGCAGGTCTTATATTTAAGTCCTTGATCCATCTTGAGTTGATTTTTTTTTCTTTTTCTTTTTCTTTTTTTTATTAGGTGAGAGATGAGGATCCAGTTTTATTCTCTGGCCTGGTGTTTGCTTCAGCTCAAGAGTTCAAGACCAGCCTGGGCAACATGGTGAAACTCCATATCTCCCTCACCCCAGCAAAAAAAAGTTTACTCCTGCCAACGGTAAGTTTGTGTTCTACCTTCTCACTCATATTTGGTATTGTGAAGACTTGGATTCTAGCCATAGTAATAGGTGTGTATTTCACTGTTACTTTAATTTGCAATTCCATGGTGATGAAATTTTAATTTTTGCACTTCAAAAGTATTTTTGTATGTTGTGAAAAATATTTTTTCCCAGTCTGCGACTTGTCTTTTGATTCTCTTAAGTGTCTTTCATAGAGGAGAATTTTTAATTTCATTTTCTAATTTATCAAATCATTTTAATAGTTTTTTTTTTTTTTTTTGAGACGGAGTCTTACTCTGTCACCAGGCTGGAGTGCAGTGGTGCAATCTCAGCTCACTGCAACCTCCGCCTGGGTTCAAGTGATTCTTCCGCCTCAGCCTCCCGAGTAGCTGGGACCACTGCCACCACGCCCAGCTAATTTTTGTATTTTTAGTAGAGACGGGGTTTCACCATGGCCAGGATGGTCTCGACCTCTTGACCTCGTGATCTGCTGGCCTCGGCCTCCCAAAGTGAATAGATATTTTTAATATTGTCTAAAACACATCACCAAATCCAAGCCTGGATTTTTTTTGTTGTTGTTCTAGAAGTTTTATGGTATTACGTTGTACATTTATGTCTACGATCTATTTTGGCTGAAGTTTTGTAAAAGGTCTGTTTAGATGCATTTACTTGCATATAGATGTCTAATTATTCCAGCACTGTTGACGAGACTTTTCTCCATTGAATTGTCTTTGTTCCTTTTTCAAAGTTGAGTTGATTATAATGGTTTGGCTCTATTTCTGAACTCTTTGATTGCATTGACTTACGTGACTCTTTTTTTTTTTCACCAACACCACACTTGTTATAGCTTAATAAGTCTTAAAATCAGGTAGTGTCAATTCTCCAATTTTGTTCTTTATCAGTATTGCATTGGTTCTTTTGTGGTTTTGCCTTCCATATAATTTTTAGGATCGGTTTTCAAATTCACAAAACAGCATTCTATGATTTTGATAGACATTGAATTAAATCTTAACACTATTGAGTCTTCCAAATAATGAACATAGAATATCTTTTATTTCTTCAGTTTTATAGTTTTCTTCATGTAGGTCCTTTTATGTATTGTTAGGTTCATATGTACATAACTTTCTAGCAATTATAAATAACGTATTTCAGATTTCAATTCATTGCTGTTATGTAGGGAAGCAATGGACTTTTCTTATGAGCCTTGTATTTGCAACCTTGCTATAATTTCTTTTGTTGCTTGTCTTATTTCTTTTTTTCTTTTTAAATAACTCCTATCATTTACAATACAAACACTTCTTAATTCCAGGAGTCTTTTTTTTTTTTCTGGTGAATTCTATGGAATTTTTCATATAGATGATCATATCTTTAAACAAGACTGTTTTCTTCCTTCCCAGTCATGTGCCTTTTATTTCCTTTCTTGCCATATTTTACTAGCTAGGACTTCTAGTATACCGTTAAACTGAGGTGCTGAGAGAGGACATCTTTCCTTGTTCTCAATCTTAGGGGAAAATATTCATTTCTCACCATTAAGTATGATGTCAGCATAGTTTTTTTATAGATATTCTTAATCAAGTTGAAGTTCCTCTTTATTCCTAACTTGATCAAGAGAATGAATGTTAGATTTTTATGAAATGCTTTTTCTCCGTTAATTCATATAATATGATTTTTCTTCTGAGGCCTGTATATGTGATTATATTAATTTTCAAATGTTGAACCAGCCTTGCATTCCTAGAATGAATCCACCTTGATCATGGTGTATAATTATTTTTTTCACATTGTTAGATTCAACTTGCTAGTATTTTGTTGCCAATTTTAATATCTCTGTCTATGAGGGTTATTCTGTAGCTTTCCTTTCCTGTAATATCTTTATCTGACTTTGGTATTAATGTAATGCTAGTCTCATAAAATGAGTTAGGAAGAGCTTCCTCTGCTTCTGTTTTCCGAAAGAGATTATGAAGGATTGATACTCACTTTTAAGCATCAACTTAAGATGGTTTTACTAACATCCTAACCTATTTTACCTAATTTTTGCTAGCATATTAGTAGAATGTACTAGTAAAAGTATCTTAACCTATTACTTTTGTACCACCTCGGCTGTGGAGTGCAGTGACAGGATCTCAGCTCACTTTAACCTCTGTCTCCAACATTCAAGTAGTTCTAGTGCCTCAGCCACATGAATAGTTGGGATTACAGGCTTGTTGCCACCATGCCAGGCTAATTGTTGTATTTTTAGTAGGGACAGGGTTTCATCATGTTGGCCAGGCTAGTCCTGAACTCCTGGCCTCAAGTGATTGGCCCATCTTGCCTCTCAAAGTGCTGGGATTACAGGCGTGAGCCACTGCTCCTGGCTCTATTGCTTTGTTTTTTGAAGTGTATTTATCATTGATTCAATGTCTTCAATATATATATAAGCCTATTCAGATTATTTTTCGTGTGAGTTTTTGTAGTATGTCTTTCAAGTAATTAGTTTTTTTTTTCCACTTAAATTTGTAGGCATAGAAATTTTACTAGCTAGAACGTCTAATCACAGCATTTCTTTATTATCCCTTTAAAGTCAATGAGACTAGTCATTACAACTCCTTCATTTTTTGTATTAGGAACTTGTGTTCTATCTTTTATTCGTTATCTTGACCACTAAAGGTTTATCAAATTTATTGGTCTTTTCTTAAAAATTTGCTTTTATTTTTCTCTATTTCCCTGTTTTTAATTTTATTTCCATTCTAATTCTTACTATTTTCTGCTTGTTAGGATTAAATTGTTTTTTTTCTCTAGTTTAAGGTTGGAAGGTCAGACGGTTGACTTCAGTTCTTTTGCCTCTTCTAATATACACAATTAATGCTGCGTATTTTCCTCAAACCTTATTTTCACTTCATACAAATTTAGGTGAGTTGTATTTTCATTTCCAGTTAGTTAAAAATATTTTAACTTCTTTTGAGAGTCTTTGACCCACCCATGTTCTATTTAGAAGTATGGATTTTTAAAAGGAAAAAAACTCGTTTTTTTTTTTTAAACTAGTAGAGTCACTTAGTACTTATAATAATCTAATACATGGAAAATATAATACATGGATAGAAATGATTTTTATCTGAGACATCTAAATGTGTAACTGTATATTTCCTATCTGGGTCTCTTAGCATACCAGAAAGAAGACACAAGATATGTTAATATAGATAAAAATTTAACAAAATTGACCAGTCAGACCTGTCTTTATGAGTCCTATGGTAAACTATGGGTAAGATTCATATTCCCTAAGAGTTTATGTATCCAAATAATAAAACGATAAAAAATTAGTTTGAATGAAACATTTCAAACCATATGTTTTAGTAAATGACTAGTACTACTTCTTGGCGAGAATAGAAATCAGGTCAGTGTTTTAATCAAATAATATATTGGGCGAAGTAAAACATTTATGATTAATTGACCTTGTATGTCAGTAGACTTTGTAAAACATGTAAAATTTCCATTACTGAAAAAATACATTAATGCCACTGAAAAATAGCATGTTCTGAATTTCCCAAAGATAAGAAACTTGCCTGGTTCCAACATAATTTAACATGGGAAAGGAAATTATGTTCACCTCAGTTCTCACTGGATATATCACCAATGTAATTTTTTTAGATAAAGATGACAGCTTGGGAGAGCCTGATGACCTTCAAATAATTTACCCCGTTGGGAAAACTGCTGTTATGTGTTTGTTGCATGTAAATGCTGCAAGATACTGCCTGTCCCTAAGGCTACTCACCACTCAAGTGTAGCAATAGTGTTAGGACTCCTTGCCACACGTATCTGCAAACTGCACATCTTCCCCTCGGCGTATTTCGGTGATGAGTGCTCAGCTTGCCAAGGCTTTTGTTTCAGGCCCATTGGCGTAAATTTCCCATTTTATTAGCTATGGTCTCTTAGGAAGAGTATAACAGATAATGGGTCCTGATGTGGAAGTATCCCACATCCACTGTCATTGCTAGGCAGAGTGATTGCATGACATCGCAAGAGGGCAGTGATTTTTGCAGCAGGGAGAAACAGAAAAAGGACAAATGCTTTTATAGGACACAGAACTAATGGGAGAAACAGAGTAACACATTTTAAGTCTACTATAAACTTTCAAGCAGTTATAATTAGGGTTCACAAAGGAATTTTGGAAGAAAACACATGATTTTAGAATTTTTAAATAGAGAAATCAAAAATGAAAAATGACTACAAAGTTAGACTTCTGGAAGATTTGATAAAATATAAAATCTTCACGCTGTGTAAAAGTACAAAGAAGTAAAATTGACTATACTGATAAAAGACATGTAGAAGACCACATAAGCTACTAATATTTCTTTAAGGAGAAAACGGACCAAGATGAAATGTGTTGGTTAAAATTCTTCCTGTAAACAAGAGAATGCACTCTGTCTAGTTGAAGCAGAAAACTTTGTTTAAATGTATTTGGTAGTATCTCTGCAGTCTGGCTGGAAAGTTAGCATGGCTACTGAGATAAACATAACACCCTAGGAAAACCTTGGGGGCTTTCCTAGCAAAAATCGAATTGCCCTCAGCTCTGAGGACTTTTGCCATCCAGAACTGAGGCTCAGATTCTGAAGCTAGATAGGCAAGAATAATGCTCAAGCACAAAAGGGCTTCTATAGCACAAATGACATGACATCACTAGTTAGGACTGAAGGCAAAGGCTTTTCTACCCTACTGTGCCCCGAAAGCATGACAATACCTATTACTAGAATAAAAATCTTATCACTAGGCTTGCTGGAAGGTCAATTCACCGAGATGAATATTTTTTTTCTTCTAATTTGGGGAGTGGAAGTCACACTGCAGAAAATTACCAATATTCAGGGGTAATATTTCAAGATGTCAAGCAACTACAAACGACCAATATCCGGATACTGGAAGATATAATCCAAATATTAAAACTTGAGATGAAAAATAAGTTTTTTTAGATGGAAGGAGCTTGCCACATCTCAACATGAATGAATTAAAAAAAAAAAAACAGCAATCTTAGGAACATCATTTTCCTGGTTGGCTTCTAGTTATTATGCCTTCTAGATTAAGAAAGTGGGTGTGGGGATACTGTTTTTGGATTCATAAATACATCTCATTTTTTTTTTTTTTTTGAGACAGAGTTTTGCTCTTGTTACCCAGGCTGGAGTGCGATGGCGCGATCTCGGCTCACCGCAACCTCCGCCTCCTGGGTTCAGGCAATTCTCCTGTCTCAGCCTCCTGAGTAGCTGGGATTACAGGCACGCGCCACCGTGTCCAGCTAATTTTTTGTATTTTTAGTAGAGACGGGGTTTCACCATGTTGACCAGGATGGTCTCGATCTCTTGACCTCGTGATCTACCTGCCTCGGCCTCCCAAAGTGCTGGGATTACAGGCTTGAGCCACCACGCCCAGCCTAATACATCTCATTTTTTGTTCTTTTTTACTTCCATGTATGCTCTCTGACTTGTAGATTCTGAATCCCCACTTTCTGAATCAACTGCTTCTCTTTGCAGTGTCCTTGGCACATTTTCCAGACTCTAACGTCTGCTCTGCCTCAGTAGTGAGTATACAATCATTTTCCTTAGAAATTTATGAAAATCACTTCTGTTCTCCTGGTTCCATTTCTCGATCTTTTTTTCTGTTGTTGGTTTACACTATATTCTTTTATGAACATTTCAAATCCTTAGGAGGCAAGGGATATAAATCTGTTTTCCGACTACCATCGTAACCTGTAAATCTCCTGTAAGTTTTATAAAAATTATGTAATACTGGTAAAATCATACTATTAACAATCCAAGTGAAACCATTTACTATACTTTTCCTTACATTAAAAATTATAATCTGTATTTTTAAAGATAATGAGGCACATTGAGTAGAATGCTTAACACCTGTCACTTTTATGTAATCTCTCATTCAACATTTTATTCATTTTCTTAGTTCATTCTGCGGTCTAAAATGGAAAACAGCTGGCCACCTATAGGAAAAAGGATATGAAATAAATAAAATGTTTGTTTTGTAATTTTGATGGTTATATGCCCTAAAAGAGGTGCATGGGTCAAAGACGTTTCAATACATAATGCAGACACTGTGGAATAGGACCAGCCCAATGCCAATAGCATCTCTTCTGTCAGCTAATATGTTCAACTTGCTACAATACAAAATCATTTATGCCTGTGTTTGTCTTCTGTTTACTTTGGTGATGAAAGGATTCCTGCCTTATAGCTAAATATAGTACACCCAACACTGGACAAAGGAGATCAATGGCAGTTTTAGTCAATGTACTCACAGCCAGGGGAGGAGGACACTGTATACTACATAGGGCCACACAGGGGTTACCTTTGGGAACAGAGTGAACCAACCAGGAGTTGTGGCATGCAAGATTCTTAGTAACAATAGGGTGGAGTGTCCTTTTGTTCCCATGGGATGATCACATTGGCTTCTTGGAATAATTCTGTAGGCTGGCAGGAAAGTGAAACTTGCTACTCAGGGATAAGCAGAAATTGTGCCTGGTCTGTTTAATAAGGAGTGTTATTTGGCTAGTTGGCTAGTAGAACTTATCCATGGGAGTAGAGTGGGGAGGAAACTTGCACTTGAGCCATTTGAAGCCCTCTTGATCTCACCATATGTCATGGTAACACATAGTATTGGATCTTAATTTGAGGCCTTGACCTACACTGGGTACCATATGTGAATAGTTTTTAGAGGAGAACATTGAGTCTGATATATGCTTGTTCACTTCCCCCCAGTACTTAGACTTACCAGGATTGTTTTCTGCATAGGCATAGTCTGTACATTCTCGAGAAATCTACCATCTCTAGAGTTTGACCTGGTCAAGAAGTCTGGTTTTCTAAAATCTGTAGAAAATATTTTCTGGACTGAATGACTCAAATCAATATTGTCTGTAAATAAAACGTATCTGTTAGGTAGATTAAATGGTGCAAATAACCCATCCTGGCTACTCTCTGTTTAAATTGGAGCAGTTATATTCATGCTGATAAACTGAATTTTTGTTTCTCCTTACAGAGCTTATTGATAGAAATTCCACACACTTCCTTGGTTACTTACTGTATGCCTTAGTTATGTACTAATAAATTTTGAAGACCGTCTATTTCAAATCTTTAATTCGGAGTTCTGACTTTCAGGAGGAAGAAAGACTTGTTAGCTAAATCCAAAGTAATTTAAATAGTAATATTTGGTTTAAGTCTCAATCAACTATTTTAATAGAAACATTTCTGAATGACAGTTTGTTGAGGCCATGGAAAAATAAATTCAGCGTTAAGCTGAGTTAGAAACTATGATTCAAGAAGGGAAATCGACAAGAGGAAAACTGGCATAATGGTAAGAAAATTGCACTGTGAGTCAAGAGGCTTGTTTTGAGATTTGATTTTTGAGTACATTACTGAATCTTCTTGTCTTTTCCTCCATCTATAAAAAGAGAAATCTCCTAAGTATAATCTAACTCTGAAATTTTGTAATCTAAGAAATCTCTGTACAGTAACATTTCATAGTCATGTCAGAGGTAGCATTTTTATAGCACTCAGGACATGTGCATTCCATTAGGATATGTATCAGTTCTCTCTGCAACTCACACTTTGTTTATACAGAATCTTTTCCTAATCATTATCCCTCTTGGAAATGGAAGTCTAACAGGAGTGGCAAAGCATAAACAGACTAATAAATGTTTTAGTGGAGTGAACTTGTTAATTTTCAGAGAACACCATAAAGAAGTCATAAGACATTCCTCAGCTAAGAATACTGTCAGCCAGTGGCTAGGACATTACTCCCTGGTATTTTAGAAACTCTTTACTAAAAGATGAAAGAAAAAAAGTATTTTTGAAATAGCAGTGAATAGAAAATACACACAACATATTTTTGAAAGTTAAAAAGCAACCACAAGGCCGGGCGCGGTGGCTCAAGCCTGTAATCCCAGCACTTTGGGAGGCCGAGGCGGGTGGATCACGAGGTCAACAGATCGAGACCATCCTGGTCAACATGGTGAAACCCCGTCTCTACTAAAAATTACAAAAAGTTAGCTGGGCACGGTGGCGCGTGCCTGTAATCCCAGCTACTCAGGAGGCTGAGGCAGGAGAATTGCCTGAACCCAGGGGGCGGAGGTTGCGGTGAGCCGAGATTGCACCATTGCACTCCAGCCTGGGTAACAACAGCGAAACTCCGTCTCAAAAAAAAAAAAAAAAAAAAAAAAAAAAAGCAACCACAAAAATAAAGGTTAACCAGCTAAGCAACTGCCTGGATCCAAAAATAATTTGAGTTTTATTAATACCACAACCATTGTATCCCCACAGATATATTTATTTTCCTTGAAATATTAATAATGGTAGCTAATTTTTATTGAGTAATTCAAAGTGTTTCATACATTTAATCTTCATAAATATTTCCTATTCCAACTCTATCTCTTCAACTTGGGGAACCCACCTCTACTCAGGTTATCCTTCCCTGTGCTGCAGCCTAAAAACTCATCAGGCAGTAATTGGGACAAATGGAGGGCTCATTTTTTTGTTTCTAATATTTTAGGCATCATTGTCCTAGTCTAAATAATATGTATATTTTATTTGAATTTTAGTTATTTCAGGTGCGAGATTAAATCATGTCTTTGTTATTCCATCTTGGTTGGATTTAAAAGTCCTAGTTAGTGTAAATTTTAAGAATTAAAAACTATGCATAGGCAATTAAGTTGTCAACTTTGTTTTTTTTATATATATATTTACTTTTTGAGGTCTCAGACACTATTCAAAAAATCTTAAACGTAGTCTGAATTTTATATGTATATGTGAAAACACTATCCAGATCAAGATAGATAACATATGTGTTACTGTAGAAGGTTCTTCCATGTTTCTTCCTCGTTTGTATTCGCCATCCTTGCACTATAGAGCAGCACTATTCTAACTTCCATTACCATAGGTTACTTTCACTGTTATTAAACTTCATGTGAAGGGAATTATATGTACACTTCTGTGCATGGCTTCTTTCATCATGTCTTTTTGAGATCCATCTATGTTTTTATCAGTAATTTATTCTCATTGCTGTATACTATCCTAGTGTATGAATATATCCTAATTTCAATCCATCTTCCTGTTGGTGGTTATTTGGGTTATTTCCAGTTTGGGATTTTGTGAATAAGTTTACTATGAATATTTTTGTGGCCATTATAATATCTTTTTCTAGGGGAACAAAGGAGCAAGAAAAGCTTTTCTCGAAATTAGTAGGTCATTCAAAATTTTAAGTATTTGCAAAATATTTCTGCACGTCTACATTACAATCAGCATTTTACATTGTACACAAAGATGACCCAAATCACTACATATTTTGAACTAATTCCTGAATGTTTTAAAATTTGTGCCTACTATAATTGTGATTCTAATATAATCTGAGTTAATAACATATTACCATCTTAATACTGTGGGCTAACCTTTGACAATCACTTATTAGGTACCATTACAACTAAGATACTTTCTTCACAACAATCTCAGTAAAAAATATTCACATGTAATTTGTGAATTGAGACTCTTATGTTGAGTTGTCCTAGATGGCATAACCAATAAAGTGAAGCCAAAATTTGAGTCCAGTTGGTCTGGCTTCAGAGCCTGATATTTAACAAAGCAGAATTACAAATAAGTGCCCACAGAAGAGGAATAGCTAACTTATATGTATTAGTTGAACTTTCCTTATTAGCTGATCCTATTACTATGATTTTTGCGTACTGAGTTCTTACAAGTCCAGAGCACACAACTCAAAATTTGTTTCAGCAATGGAGTATGTTAATAAAAAGTTTTTTTTTTTTTTTGAGGGAAAAAGAGAAAAAGAAGGGGAAAAAAAGAAAAAGAGGGAAAAAGGAATATTACTTCATTCCTAAAATGGGTTTCAATAATGGCCGATCAATATTTTGAGTGTTTAAAGTGGTTAATGCATATTTTATGTGTTTAAAATGGAGACCTCTCTTGTGTTTATTTGTTCTGGCTCTGAGTTCAAGTCCTGGATATCGTTATCAATTTGTTGTCTCGTTGAATCTAAATCTCATTATGTGTCTTATGTATCTGGGTGTTAAGATCTCTTATTGTTGCATTAATCCTTTTACCCTTGCATCCTTGTAGCTTTGAAATCTATTTTATTAAGTGTGAGAATTGCAACTCCTGCTTGTTATTTATTTTTGCTCTTCATTTGGTTGGTGAGTTTTTTTCCATCCCCTTGTTTTGAGTCTTTGTATATCTTTAGATATATCGTTAGATTTTGTGGATAATGTATATTTTGTGTGTTTAAAATGGAGAGCTCTATTGAGTTTATTTGTTCTGAATCTTAGTTCCAGTCCCGGATATCGTTATCAATTTTCTGTCTCGTTGAATCTAAATCTCATTATGGGTCTTATGTATCTGGGTGTTAAGATCTCTTATTATTACATTAATCCTTTTACCCTTGTATCCTTGTAGCTTTGAAATCTATTTTGTCAAATGTGAAAATTGCAACTCCTGCTTTTTATTTATTTATTTTTGCTCTCCATTTGGTTGGTACGTTTTTTTTTTCCCAACCCTTTATTTTGAGTCTATGTATATCTTTGGATATACCATTAGATTTTGTCTGTATCTTTTGATGGGGAGATTTGGTCGATTTAAATTTAGGGTTGCTGCCGTTTGATATTAACTGGCTATTTTGTCCTTTCATTGATAAAAATTCTTCTTTATGTTAATGCTCTTTACTTTTTGGTGTATTTTTAGAAAGGGTCATACTGGTTGTTCCTTTCTGTGTATAATGCTTCTTTTAGAAGTTCTTGTAAAGCAGACCTGGTGGTAATAAAATCTTTGAGTACTTGCTTGTTCCTAAAAGATTTTATTTTTCCTTCAAATGTAAAGCTTAAATTGGCAGGATATGAAATTCTGGGCTGAAAGTTCTGTTGATTAAGTATATTGAATATTGGCCCCCACTCTCTTCTAGCTTGTAGGGTTTCCGTTGAGAGATCTGTTGTAAGCCTAATAGGCTTACCTTTATGGGTAACTTGATCTTTCTCTCTGGCTGCCCTTAATATTTTCTCCTTCGTTTCGATCTTGGTGAATCTAACGATTATGTGCCTTGGGGTTGGTCTTCTTGAGGAATATCTTTGTGGTGTTCTCTGTATTGCCTGGGGTTGAATGGTGTCCTGCTTTGCTAAATTAGGAAAATTTTCCTGGATAATATCCTGGAGAGTATTTTCCAGCTTGAATTCATTCTCTCCGTCACATTCAGGTACACCAATCAAGCATATATTAGGTCTTTTCACATAGTCCCATATTGCTTGGAGACTTTGCTCATTCCTTTTTATCCTTTTTTCTCTATTCTTGTCTTGTCGTTTTGTTTCATTAAGTTGATCTTCGACCTCTGGTACCCTTTCTTCTGCTTGATCCATTCGGCTGTTTAAGCTTGTACATATTTCACTAAGTTCTCGTGTTGTATTTTTCAACTCCATAAGTTCATTTGTATTCCTCTCTATATTGTCTATTCTTTTCAACATTTCATCTAACCTTTTTTCCAAGTTCTTAGTTTCTTTACATTGGGTTAGAACAAGTTCCTTTAACTCCCAGAAGTTTCTTATCATCCACCTTTTAAAGCCTACTTCAGATAATGGAACACAGTCCTTTTCCATCAGGGCTTGTTCCATTACTGATGAGTCCTTTTCCATCAGGGCTTGTTCCGTTGCTGATGAGTCCTTTTCCATAAGGGCTTGTTCCGTTGCTGATGGGTTCTGATTTTGAGTGTACTCGGCCTTCTTAGGCTGTTTTTTTCCCTTCATTGTAGATGAACCACCTTTCTAATTAGGTTTCTGAGTCGACGTCCAACTTATTGATTCCCAGTGCTGGGATCCGAGCAACCCACTGTGGCAGCCTAAATAGCA